TTAAAAATTAAAAAAAGAATACAAGATAGAGTAAGACAACTTGAGGAAGTCTAGCATAATCATTTCCAAGTGAGTGATTTTTTCATTTAATTATAGTCATATTCCAAAAACATAAAATTCTTGAACAATATTATATAATACTTAATACAAATGTTAATTTACTAGGTTTAGCATATTTATATATTTTAAGTGCGTATTTTTTTCTGTTGACCTAGACCTCTTCAGTGATCTTGATAAATATTCTGGCCAGGGTATAATGAGCTATGACATTTCCATGTCGACTCTGAATGAAGTGTTCTTGAACCTAGAAGGAGAACCAGCTAACAAACAAGGTGAAACTGTTTGTATAATTCACAGAATCAATTTACAAATGATCCTATGTCAGTTTAGTATTTATGATGTTTTTTATGCATGAGTCACTCCGAGGGGGTATGGATTATTCTAAATTTGGCTCACCTGTTTGCATGACCTGTTACTGTTTCCTGACATTGTCAAAATAGCTGAACACTCTTTGGAAGCTATCTACTTTGTGATTTCAAGCTGTTTTCTCCTGTCCCCAGTTCTCAAATTTTTTGAGGTTATGAAACGTTTTGGTCAGAGGCATGGTTTCTGAGCATGCATTTCTTATAAAAATAGAAACCAACTTGTTAATAGAAAAAAGTCTAAACGGACAGAATTGTCATTATCAACTTCCAGATAATTTAAAAGGCAATTATAATAACTATCATTTTTGGAGCATTACCTTTGCCAGATAGTTTGACCAATGTGGCTAAAGACTGATACATGCTTGTGCTACCTTCCCATAATAATCCTTCCAACAAACATGGCTGGCGCCATTTTACAGGTGAGAGAAGTCAGATTTAAGAACAATTAAACGATTCTTCCCAAACTATGCTGCTTTTAACTCACGTATGCAGGATTCATGGACACGTCTGCTCTTTGCTGAGCTGGCGATCTTTTCCCTACAAGCACAGATTGATACCTTAGCAGCAGATATTTAGGCACTGAGGATTGATAATTCGTATGCAGAGGACTTTTTTGAAACCCTCAGAATAGTATTACATTTGAAACTTTGCTTTTCGACGAACTGGACATAGGAAAAAAAATCACCCTTTTTCTGAAATTTTCTTTTGATATGAATATAATATGTTTTCTCATGGTATGGTATATTGAATGTTCTTTTATTGTTTGTGATGTGACCACAAACATTTTTAAAAAATTTTGTCTTGGTCTTTTTGAGACAGGGTCTCCCTTTAGTCCCAGCTGTCCTGGAACTCACTATGTAGACCAGGCTGGCCTCAAACTCACAAAGATCCGCCTGCCTCTGCCTCCCAAGTGCTGGGATTAAAGGTGTGTGCCACCATGCCCAGCTAAAAATATTGTTCATTAATTTTAAAATTTTTCATTATGTTGGAAATTATAAAATATAACTATAGAAATATTGAAGACAGTGGTAATGTATAAGCTTAATGGATATTGGAGCTGTTGCTTGAGTAATTCCTTTGAATATATAACCAAACACAAAATAATTTTAATACTTTTATGAAGAAAATGGATGATAGCTTATATGGCATTAGTAATAATATGTATGTGTGTGTTCGTGTAGACTTTGAGCAAACAGGAATGATAGGAGACTCCGAAAGCCTGAGTGAAATGGAGCCAACTCACTCTCCTCTTTCCGAATCACAAAAGCCCGTGAGTGACATGGGCCTCTGGAGGATGCAGGTCTGGGCAATGGCAAGACTCCGCTTCTTAAAGTTAAAACGTGGGAGAAAAACCCTTTTGACCTTGTGAGTATGAACGTATTGTAACTTTATACCTAGCATCCCCGCTAGAGGAGATATAAATGCGCATTGATTTACTGGAATCGTCTCTGTGTTAGCTCTTATTTGGCTTATAAATACAGCTCTCTAATTTTTACAGTAAGATAACCTGATCTTTGTGTAATGGTGCCTTTTAGTGCTCTGTAGCAAGCTGAGTAATGACTTTTAGAATCTTAGCAACTGAAATCAAGGTTTGTTTAAAGTAGATTTAGCATTCAACAAATAGTTGTGGAATATCTTACAAAGGAAATAGTTACAAAGTCCTATGGTATTTTTTTTTCTTTATTGTTTAGGCTATTGATACTTGGAATTGCATTGTTCCCATTGATTATGGAAGAGATATCTTTTACTATGATAGATGAAAATATGGATGAGGAATTAAAAACAGAATTGTATTTCCTGTCACCTGGACAACTTCCCCAGGGCTCCCGAACCAGCCTGTTGATCATCAATAACACAGGTGAGCAGAAAATAAGAATTTTAATTCATAAATTTTAAATTGTTAAGTTTATTTCAAATTGTTGAATCATACATAAATGGACAAGAAAATCTTAAAACAAGAAAATGTATATTTATGGATAATAACTTATGAAGAACAGTGCATATTTTCTCTGATTTTAGAGAGGACAGGGGTGGTGGGAACAGGAAAGAAGGAACCTGTCACCATTTAGTCTGGTCAGGTAGAGCTCTAAGCTATTACAGGTGAGAGAAATAAACTTTTAGCTGAGTTGCTCTGTTTTTAGATCTTTTTGTTACTGCTACTTTTTACCATACCTACGCTATAACGTGACTGATGTGTAAAGATGACGTGTCTACACCTCATGTCCCTCAACAGGATTGAGAAAAACTTATCTCAAAGAAAGGATAGTTGATTGTTTAGTAACTGCCTAACTCACTTGAAGGGAGAGCTTTTATGTTTCTACCATAGATGTTGAAAAGCTCAGAGTAGCAGTCCTCTCATGAGTTTCTCGTTGATCCTGGTTTTCTCAGATACTCGTAATTCAAAGTTGCAATATATCTTTTTTTAGCTAAACATTATCTTTTTGTTTTCATTTTTTGTTCTTATTTTCCATTTGGGTTTTGGAAAGTAAACTTACCTGCTTCTTCAAAGCTGAATTGTACATTCGTTCCCAAGATGCAGAATTTTCCTCTACCTATCAGCTTGTTGATGCCCCATATTTTTAAAAGTATTTTTATTTATTATTTTTATTTTATGTGTATGAGTGTATTGCCAGCATGTATGTGAGTGCACCCATGATGCGCAATGCCCATGGAGGTCAGAAGAGGGAATCAGATCCCCTGGAGTTTTGGATGGTTGTGAGCTGCCATATGGGTGCTGGGAACCGAACTGGGGTCCTCTGCAAAAGCAGCCAGGGGTCTTAACCACTGAGCTATTGCTACAGCCCCAATGCTTCATATTTTATTCCTCCCCGCTCAAGTATCATCATTCTTTTCCTTTGTACTCAGTTTTCAAGTATTTGGGGAGTTAAGTTTGGAGATTCTTCCTACTTAGATTTGATGATTACTAGCAACATGTTCATCTTTTTATGCGAGAATACCTCTTGATTTATATGAACGTGAATTGCTGCTATCGTATCCTGTTGTGGAAATGAAGTCCTTATGTGCAGCTGCCTTAGAGTCCCTAGAAACATTGTTTCCTATGTCTGTCCTGCCTTGTTTGGAAGGCACCCAAATTTCTCTGAAATTTGGTCCTATTTGTCCAATTCCTGAGCTCTGTGCATTCCCAGTATGAACTCTGATTTGAAAGTCCAGAAGGAAGGGGCTCTTTAAAATTTTTTTTAATATTTTTTGAATTTTTGTGCATTTCATACATCTTTTTTTTTTTTTTTTGGCAAGGGAATATGTCCTCTTTGCTTTAGGAGAACACAGCAAAGGGCCAGTGTCTTGCCAATGGGTACAGACTTCAGCACCAAAGAGCAGAGCTATCTGGATTTATACAGGGACCCAGATGAACACAGCTGTGGGAATTTGCTCAGTATCAGGTGTCAGCCTGCTCTGGTGGCCTGGCCTCAACAATTGATCATCCAAAACATCTTAATCATATTTAGACACCCTTCCCTACCTGTGACCCTCCATAAGGACCTCTTTTTTTGTCCATTCTGATTGTTTGAAGTCTTGCCCTGCTTTTCCTTAGACACTGTCTCTTAGAAAGAGAAGATAAAGCATGTTTGCCCCAGGTGACCACAGCAGCTGCCCGCTGTGTGGGGTGTAGCTTACCAATAACAACCCTGACCTGCTTGAGAGCATGCTTTGCTCAGTCATCCACTTGAGTTTTGACACTCTAGAACCTGATGCACTATTACATCTTTTGACTTCTGTGTGCACCCGGCTGTCAGTTTTTCTCAAATCTTCTCTCTCAAATGATGCCATCTGTTTTCTTCTGTAAGGATACATTAAAATTTGGGCTTGATTGTGGCAACCTTTTCATTTCCTAAGAAAAACAAATTATGGCATATACATGAGTGCAATACATATGCAAATATGTAAGAAAGGAAAATATGGAAATGGAGAGATGACTCAACAGTTAAGAGCACTGGCTGCTCTTGCAGAGGACCGGGGTTTGGTTCCCAGCAACCACATAGTGGCTAACAACCATCCATAACCCCAGTTCCAGTGGATCTGATGCCCTGTTCTGACCTCCATGGGCATTGCATGACATGGGTGTACTTACATACATGCATACAGTATATTCATACAAAAAATAAAAATAATAAATAAAATTTAAAAGGAAAATATATATTGTAGATATACATATACTTAACTTTTTATTATTTCAAAGAATAATAGAGAAAGGAGAATGTTAATCAGGCTTAAAAATCTGAAGTAATGCAATTGTCTTTCCAGAAGTTATCAATTCATATGCATTTTAAAATAAAAGTTACAAAATAGAATTATCTTCTTTTAATTATCAAAAATTAACTCACGATAGATGGAATTATAAGATCACTCACCCTAACATAAGATTTACTA